TTTGGTGCAGGGTCACCTCAGAGGTAAAGACGATTTAAAAACACTCAAACTCCGAAACCCCACCCGCTGTGACATTGTCTTTTTTGCAACTAAGAAATACAGCCCTGGTGTTTGTTCTTTCTTCACTTATAGCCCACAGGGTGAAAGGCTGCTCTATGTAGTGAAGTCAAGCTTCAGTTTCCCTCGCAATCCCTCCCCATCCATTCAATGGTACAGGTCCGGCTCTAAAAGAAGGCCAAGTGACAGCTTTACGACCTTTCAGGAATAAAAGCTAAAGCAACTAATCCTGCCCTCCCACAAACATTGTCCCTTTTGAACTGTCAAAAGACCTTCACTGTGCACCGTGTCTGCCGCTAACAACCATCTCTCCGCTGCAAAACCACCCCCCTCCATCCGCAGCAATGTCAACAAGGTCGATTTCCTAGAAAGACCCAGTTGGTGTGAAATCTGAGATATTTTCATAGAGATTGACATCAATACCAACAAATACAGGGCTGAGGAGAGTGAAAAAGCAAACAAAACAGAGGATGTCAACAACTTTAAACCCCAAGAAGATTAAATACAGAAAGACAGAAGGATAAAGGGAGATAAAAAAAAAGTTTAAAAAAAATGATAAAGGGACAGATAGTGTGAGCTGGTGATCTCAGGAGTCTAGTATTGATCTGAGCTTCTTTTTCTAATCTCCCTGCCCGGTCAGTAACCTCAGCTGGATTGGACATCCAGCCACAAAAAGCAATTTGACCCCCACTGCTGCCCTCACAGGTCACCCTTTAGTGACTGCTGACTTCAGGTTGCCATGGTGACGGAAAATTATGACTAGGCCCCCGGGTTGGATGTGTTAAGAGGCTTGGATTTGTGCCCAGCACCCTATTGCTTTTCATCATAGGGGCTATAAAGAGACAGCAGAGGAGCATTATTGCTCTGTTGTTATTTATTCGGATATTTTGTAACTTCGTTTAATCGCTGTGCCCCTCGCAGTCACTGGTTTGTTTTTAGCCATGCTAGCGACCTGGCTCTATAAATGCCGATGTAGATGAGTCGGGTTGCGAGTCAACAACTACCAGATGGATTGCCATGAAATTGCCTCTGTCATGCATGGTTCCCAGAGGATGAATCTGAATGAGTTTGGTGATCGCCTGCTGTTTTATCTAGTGCTATCATGAGAAGTGAAATGTCTCAACAACTAGAGCACAGGACAGCTTTGCATTTTGGCGCTGACATTCATGTACCCCTCGGGATGAATTTGTTCTACCACCACCATTATCAGGTCGAATTTTCAGTTTGTCCAGCACTTTGGTTGAAGACTAAATACCTGCAATGGGTAGACTCTGCTGTACTTTGAGTGCTGCTTAGTGCTAATTAGCAAATATGCTAACACCCTAAACCAAGATGGTAAACATGGTAAATGTTATACATGCAGGTATGTTAGCATGCTGACATCCTGTTATCTAAATAACATATCTGCATTGCCGAAGGCCCATTTTTCGAAAGTTTTGGATGTGCAGGTAGGGACGAAGTCAGGTGACCTTGGTCATTATCGAAACAACACGTTGCTAACATTGTGAAACAGTCAAAGTTTGGTTAGGTTTAGGCACTC